AGTATGCCTTTGTAGAACATCTCCTAGGCGTTGGCGATTCTGAGAGGCTATGGGCCCTGCCCTGGGGTAGCACCCACACAGTGGGATGCTCAGTGAGCAGTGGGTGCTAGGATCAAATCAGGAGAAGGCCCAGGGGACAGCATTTACATTTACACCCTAGCTGTTCAGTGTTGCTGTAGAAAATCTTGCAGCCTGTGACTGGAGCCCCTCACAGGTTCGTGGGCTCTCATTGCGAGTCAGGGGTCTGTGCTGCTAGCGGTCAGAGTAGATAGGTGGCAGACGTGTCCCCTCATCTGGAGCCATGGCAGGCATCACTAATCAATTGGAACCTCTTCTCTGCTGAGCCCCGATGTGGTTTTATCACCCCTCACACCACCAGGCTCCAGGCAGCCACTACCCACCAATCACAGTTGGCCCATGAGATGAGACCTGTCTAACTTCCTGTCCATGCCAGTTCTTATAGCCAGTCTTGCTTGCATTTAGGCCAAATGGTCTCTCTTTAAACCAAGAACCCTCCACTTGCCTCCTCTTTTGCTGCAGATGACTTTACCCTCCCTAGAGAGGAGCTCTGATTAGAAAGCCACCAGGTGACTTTTCCACTAGCAAATCACCCATCTGCTGGCCTTCTCCCTCCTTCGATTACAGGTGAAGAAGTGCCCTTCTCTACCCACGGCCAGACCCTTGACCTGAGCTCTGGTTACCCGCCCCACCCCTGCTTCCTTCCTTTTCAGAAGCCTGGGCTAGTAATTTTCCCCACTGAGCAGCCTCACCCCTCCTATGACATTCTTTCCATCATGTTTCAGGTGTGCTCAATTCTGTCCCACCGTAAGAAAAGCGGGGTGGGTAGGGGGAACGATATAGTTACCAGCTTTTACTTTGGCCAAGTAAGGGCTCTGAAAGCTCCCTTTGCCTTATAGCACCATTTTTTTTTTGTTTATTTGTTTTAAAGCAAGAGATGTTTAACTTCGAACATGGTAGAAAGGAGATAATTTCAGAATATTAGATAAGCCTGTAAATTGAATAAATTTAGTTAATAAAAACTCACCACCTAGTACCTATTTTTCTAAGTTATTTATAGAGCAGAAGAAACCCAAGAAATCCAAGAACCTGCACGAGATCTGTGGGGGCCCTGCAGGATCAGCTTGTCCTTGAGCCTGATAGTCGAGAATCAGGTCTTCCCTCCCCTTGGGCTGGCACTCCTCCCCATGACAGTGGCCTAGGTCATTCCAGAACATCCGGGTTTGCACACTGGCCACAGCCACCTCCTGGAGAGGCAGGGTTTCCGTCTGGGCCCCTAGATGTCACCCAGGCCAGCTCAGAATTGTCACACCCAGTCACACACCAGTTGCCACTGAATAAGCTCCACAAGAGGTCAAATAGTGTCTCGCCGCAGAAACATCACTGACACCAAGGAGACTACTCTTCTGTGAGATGTGCCAGATAAAAGGATACCCTTCCCATAAAACCATCCACAGTTCTGGAATTCTAGAGCAAGGGCACCACGTATAGAGGAAACGCTTGGGACTGGGACTCTAGAAGCCAGGGTTCAAGTTGAAGGTCTGCCTGCATGGCCTTGAGGAAGCCATTCTTCCTCTCTGGGACTTAGCTTTCATCTGCAGAATGAGTATAATACAGCCCATCTCATGGTGTTACCGTGAAGATCAAAGGTAATATAATCTCAGAGCCTGGAGTGGTGGCTGGCACACAGTAGGAGTTTTTATTATAAAGATCCCTCCACTGCGGTAGAGAATTTCAACCCTGTGATATAAAATGCCCATATTTAGCACAATCTGACAAGGCAGGTATATTATCCCTGTTTTGCAGATGAGAGACTGAGGCCCATAGAGGTGACATGGCTTTCCTGGTGTCTCTAAGCTGACAGTGGTAGAACCCCACTTTACACCCAAGCATCCTGACACCAAACCTTTTACTCTTTGTACCGAATGTCTCCATAGAGCAGAAGGGAGAAGGGGTGGCCGATTGCCCCTCGGCAATGGACACCCCAGTCTGTGCCCGGGGCCTCCCAGAAAGGGATGCTGGAGCAGAGGTGGGCCGAGGTGGGCCGAGGAAGGCCTGACATGGGACTGCAGAGGCACCCGACAGCGGCGTATAGAGGGGACTGGTGTGTCTGCAGGCCGTCTGCAGGTTGCACGCTGCCCAAGGGTGCTTGTGTCTGCCTTGCACATCAATCTGCAGCCTGCCGTAGGATGTGGGGCTCGGGCGTTACTTGGCCATAAGAAGGCAGTGAGGCGGCCGGGGACTTCTCTCGCTACGGATCGTGTGTGGACATGTTCCACACCAAAACAGGTCTGTGCAGCGGGCTCCCTGACTGCACATAAGAACAGAACCCCTGGATCATAGCTCCTGGGCGCAGGGCTCCAGCCCTGGCTCTCTCCCTGACTTGCCATGAGCTTCACCCAGATCTTGGCCTATTGGGCCCTCAGTGTGTCCGGGGCTCTGATGAGGTGGGCAGGCTTGAGCTTAGAGGCTGCAGCCAGCTTTGAAATTCTCAGAACATTGTTTCAGGAGGGGTTGAGCCTCCAGCGGCAGCTTCCAGCAAGATCTGCACATGGCTCTGGGCTTATTATTGGACAGCAGGCCTCTGAGAGCCAAGGTGGGGCTCGTGTTGCCCTGACTGTACCACTGTCATGTCCACCAGGCCCAACGAGACCAGGAGGGGAGGAGCCCGTCAACATGCATTCGTTCATGTGTGCATGCCTTCACTCATTCATTCTTTCATACGCTCATCAAGCTTGAAACCTGTTACACGCTACTAAAAACACAGATGGCCACGTGGTGCAGGCCCTCCGGGAGCTCAAGGCGGGGGTGGGGGCCAGAGCCAGTGGCAACCAGCGGCTCTGCTGTGGTGGGGTGGGGGGAGGGCAGGCTGGAGGCGGGGGAGGCTGAGCTGGAGCCCGGAGGCTGGAGCTGATGGAGGCTTGGCCTGGGACGGTGGCGACGGGGATGGACAGAGTAGACGGCTGTGAGTCTTTCCGGCAGTCTGTCAACAGGACCAACCAGGGACCTGCTGGGTTGCAGAGATGGGGAGGAAACTGGAGATGGGCGTGGTGCTTGCGTGCTGGTCGAGTGCCTGAGTGGGCATTTGTGTCTCCACGGACTTGGGTTTCAGGAGAAGCAGGCCAGTGCCCAGGGCCACCCGCGCTGCTTTGAAGTTCATCTCCAGGCTCCCCCATTCCCTCACCCACAGGAAAGAGCTAGGCTCAGACCCTGGGTGGCTCTGGTCTCGGGCCCTGGGACCACTGGGGCAGGCGGCCCTACCACTCAGGGGGGCCATGTGGAATGCTGGAGCTCTTACTGGCCTCCCTCATGGATCACGCTCACCGGGAGGCTGGCTCCACTCAGAATGGCTCCCCTTTTGTAGTCAGTGGGGGACCATTCCGGAGCAGGAGCACTGCCTAGATGCCCACGGAGGGAGGAGTAGGGAGGCAGCCGGATGGTGAGAGGGTGTGTTGGGGAGCACTTCTTCCCTCACCGTCCCCAAAGCTGTCGTGACTCATGCCAGGTCCCTAGTAGGTATCCTGCACCTGGAGGGTAGCCTTGCCCTCTCCACGTGGTTGGTCAAGGTCCTGCTCCTGCTGGCTTCTCCAGATACCCCAGTGGGAATCCCTCTCTTCTCTGAAAACTGTTGGAATAGCTCCTGGAGCCACCAGCGGCCCCTGTGCTTTCTGAATCCTTCTGTTCAGATGCGTGAACTCAGGCTGTCAGAGGGGAAGGGGTCGGCCACAGGCCACCACAGGCCATGGTCATGCTCCAACGCAAGCCGGGACTCGTTCTGTCCAGCTGCAGGGGTGGCTCACAGGCGCTGTCCCACCAGCCGCCCCCACGCTGAAGGCCACAGAGGCGGGAAGACAGGCACAGTCAGAGGACCCTGGCCCTCCCCTTGACGTGTATGGGGTTGAATGGCGGGGCGGGGGAGGCAGACCTCTCACAGCAGACACACCCCACTGCAGAATCAGGACTGGCCCGGGCTACAGGGACCTGAGCGGGCAGGTGGTGCGCAGGCCAGGGGCCGCGGAAGGAGGGCGGAGAGGCAGTGGCCGTGAGTGCTCCCACCCCCCCCCCAGGGGTGGTCCCTCTCCCTTCAAAGTTGTCATGCAACAGGGGGTGGACTGAGCCCACATGAGCAAGACATACATTTCTATCCTGTGGCTCTGGAGCCAAAGCTGACTGATAAAGGAGGCAAATGCCATCCCCTGGTCCCATCATCACGGGAGACAGCCACAGGGAAAGGAAGGAGGGGGAAGAGGGAAGAGGAGACGGGCCTGGGGTGGGGGCAGCAAGCCTTGCACCTGGACATCCGGACTTCCCTCCGCACAGAGAGGCCAGAGCCCCCAGGAGAAGCATTAAGCTCATGGCCCACGGTGGGATGACAAAGCGTGTATTAACCGTCCTGATGCTTGGGATGACAGTGAAGCTAGCTGCCATTCTGAATTCCTGCTATTAGGTTATTGAAGTGGTACTGCTAATCTTTATAACTCTTCCACACGATAGAGATTTTCAATTCATCAGCTAGTCATTGCCATCACTGTCCATTCATAGAAGAGGGGCCTGCGCCCTTGATGGTGCCGTGCCAAGGTCACACAGCCTGGGGGGGCTGGACTGGGCCGTGGGGTGCTGGAGCCCGCTTCTCCCCACCAGGCCCCGTGGCGCTCCTAGGCTTGGCCCTGGCTCTTCTGGGTGGGCTCGAGGCTGGGCTGGCTGTGGGAGCCAGTTTCTGTTCTGGGCTCTCAGCACGGCCTCCTGGGGCATGAAGAGGCCCTAGAAGCTGTCCTGGCCCTGGCAGGGTCACCCCTCTTGCCCATGGGGCCTATTACAGAAGAACCCCTGGCTAGAAACAAGAGAAGTGTGGGGCGTGGCTTCTCCTGCTCCATTCTGGACCTCCACATTTTCCTTTAGGAAGGAGAGGTCAGGAGAGGGTCTAACAAATCTCCCAGCCCTTAAAGATTCTGCAAATAATCCCTTCCCCACTCCGGCCCAACCTGCTCCGAAGGCAAAGAAGCAGATCTTGTCTTCGTTCTCCTGCAGAAGAGCCATGACCCTCTTCCCCATCCGCTCATTCCTCTTGTAGATGAGCTCGTGGCGGAAGTAGCTGTCGATCTCCTGTGCTGTCACCTGCTCGTGCGGCGGGAGGGTGGTGTTGATGAAGCTGGGCAGCTGCAAAGGCAAGACAGAGGTGCCCTCAGTGCTCCCAGGGCACGGGGGGCTTTAGGCAAAGACACCAAGCCCAGCGGAGTGGGCCACTTACCTTTCTTAAATGGCCCGTGGAGTGGGCTATACCTTTTGTCTGGGTTTTTCATCAATTCCAAAAACGCTTTGAGAGGAGTGTGGTTATCCCAGTTTTACAAATGAAGAAAGCAAGAGTGGAAAGATCCAGAGACGTGTGCAAAGTCTCACAGCTGGTGGGGTGGCAACACAAGGAGGTATGGCTCCTGTGTCTCTGCCTTGTCGACCCTCCGCTTCCAGAACGCAGAGGGCCTGGGAGGCAGGACGGCTCTCGGCTCCTTTACTGTCCTCCCTTCAGCACCCAGCCCGGCGTGCAAGGAACTCGGGTCAGCAGGCGGGTGTGGAGGGTCAGCTGAGCTGCCTGGTGTAGGAGGAAGGCCACAGAGTACAGGATCAGGCTGACCTGGATTCAGGCCTCTTTCTGATGCTGTGTGACTCTGGCCAAGTTACTTAACTTTTCTCAGCTCGTTTCCTCATGTGTAAGATGGGGATTAGGTGAGATGGTGGGTGCTGTCACGGGCTGCGTTCAGCCCAGCCTACAGAGAAGACAGGAGAGGTCACAGCCTCCAGTTTCCCCAAGGCCTGAGCCCTGGCTGGCCACCACCATCTCCCCATTCCCAGCTCCACTACTTCCCAGGGCAGAACCAAACCCCTCCAGCCCTTCTTAAAAACGTCAACGGCAGGACCACAGCTGCCTCCCATAATGATGGTTCATTCCACAACCTGGCTTGGAACTTTCCACATTTCTCAGCTCTGGGCCCACTGTCCACACCCAGGTCTGTGGCCGGGGGCAAGTGTCACTGACATGTTATTGAACTAGGCAGAGGGCTCTTTGAGTCCAGGGACAGAGCCCTTGTCATTCCTGGGCCCCCAGTGCCTGACACACAGTAGGTGCCCAGAAAGGTCTCTGGAACCTTAAACATAAAATTGCACTGTCCCCCCTCATTGCATTGCCTCTTCCTGGGTTCCTCCATACCCAGCATTTTGTCTTTCCGGCCTGGATGTCAGGTCCAGGTGTCCCAGCACCGTGGCCTCCAAGGGTGGGCGGGGCCTGAGAAGAAGCCACGAGCCACGGAGGAGATGGGGGCATGAGTCAGAACATCCTCTCTATTTCCCCGTAACTGCTCACTGTCGTTCCACCTTCCAAGCTCTTGTGCACAGGATGTCTTCCATCTGGAGTCTCCTCTTCCCCTTCTCTCTTCATCAACTCAGGCTAATGCACAGAACACGAGGCCTCACTGACTGATGGGCTAGCTAGGTGGAGAGTTGGCATGAGGAGACTGAAGTCCTGCAGGGCTTAGCCCCCAAGGGTCATGCGGCCCAGCCACATGGCTTTTAGAGCCACTGACAAATTGTCAACACTCTTTCTGAGGAAAATGGAGACGTCAGCAGAGGCTGAGCCTTCAAGGATTTGGACAGGGCCAGGACATCTGTCTCTGATATCTACTGGCCAAGCACCAGGGTGCTCCCCAGAGTGGGAGGGGAGTGGCTTCTCTGCCATAAAGGCCTGATTCACTGTTCTGGGATGACAAGGCAATGATATGACTGATAAAACCTAAACTTACTCAGTGCACAACCTGCATAGCCGTACGCAGCAGCCCTGCCAGTACCCAATCAGAGACTGGTGCCCAACCAGAGTCAGTGTTTGGCGAATGGATAAACAAAGGAATGGAGCTCTTACCCCTCCCACCAATGATGGAAGGGATGATTGGCAGACCTGACAAAGCAGGACACGTTTGGACATGATACAGCTCCAGGAAGGGCTTCTGAATGCGGGGGGGGGGGGGGAGTTGTGGCTCAAAAGGGTTATTTCTGGAGGCATGGCCCTCTCTGTTCCTCAGGTATGGGAGAGAATGTGGGAGGACGTTGTACCAAGAAATAAACATTTGTTCCATCAGTGAGTGAATGCATGAAGGAATGAGCTGAGAGGCAACAGGTAGTTATGAAGGCAGGTCCTGGCTTCAGACAGCCAGGGTAACTTGGGATGGAATCCTTCTTTTGCCACTTACCAGTTGGGTTGCCTCTCTCTAACTGGCAAGTTATTTGTACTGTTTGAGACTCTGTGTCCAAATTGGTAACATGGGAGTAATATATGTTGTTGTAGGAATTAAATAAGATCAGTTTTGGAAAGTGCTTATTAGCACAGTGCAGAGCACAAAGGAAGTCTTGACTAAATGTCAGCTTTGTACAGCCAGCCTGGGGGATGGAGCTGGCTTCATCATTTTCCCCTACAATGGCAGAGGCTACAGTGAAGGGTGACCTTGAGCAGGGGGTAGAGACAGAGATGACAAATAGAAGCCCTCAGAATCACCAGAGAGCCATGAAGGAAGCATCCTGTTTTCCTTCCCTTCTGCCAAGGGTCCTGGCAGAGGCTCTTCCTCACCATGAATGTGCATTTGTGGAAAGATGAATCTCGATTCATTCCTTAGGGAGCTAAAAAAATTTAACAAGGACAAAACCCAGAAAGTTCAATGTCAAAGCCACGAAGCAGTTTGGCTAGCCACTGGGGTTTCTGGGACTACCCGGCAGCTGGCTGACATTCTCTGCATGTTTCATGCCGATGGGCCCTGGCTCCATGCCAAGGATGGGACTTGGGTTTGGGCCCAGGCTGGGATGGAAACAAATTAATGATGTCATTAGACTTGCCAGGAGCCTTAAATCTCCCACAACAAGTTTAAGTGCAGGATGCACCATAGAATTTGAAAGAGGACATGTCAGGGCCCTGGGGTCCTAGAGCCATGAGTCCGAGGTAGGACGATGAGATAGACGGGCCGGGCAGGGCTAGGGTGGGGCCGCGGGGAGTGACCTCAGTGTAGGCTCCCCTGGCCCACAGTCAGGACAGGGTCAGATCTGGTGGTCAAATGCTCGGGTCTACTGCCGTCACTGACCTCAGTGGCCTCATCCCTTCTCTTCAGCCCATCCATCCAACAGACAACTTCTACAAACTTCCATGAGTGTAGCCCTGTGTCGGGCGAGGGGTCACAGAGCACCCTCAGACTGGGTCTGCTGCCCTGGATGAGGCTCACAGCCCGGTGAGGGAGTCACTGTGGGGTCCATGCTTTGACCCCACCAAGGGCGTGTGGAGGAGGCACCTGACAGATAACCGTGTGTTCTGCTTTGTCCAGGATGGTCCAGTTTCATGGCTAAGGTAGACTGCCCCATGCCCGTTAATTTTTCTGACCCTTAATTATATTTGACCTTTCACTTTCCAAAGTGTCTGGGGACAGATGATAAGTATATGGCTGCTCTCCACCTAACACAGGCTGAAGGGCTCAGACAACGCTTCCTTTGGGTCACCCTGTGATCGTGGGGCATTGATGATGGTGCAAGTGACCTGGGAGCTTTGGGAGGTTGGGGCATGAGCCATTTCTGAAGGTGAAATGGTGGGGTAGGGAGGCAAGAGAGATCAAGACAGAGGTGCAGCCAGCCCCTGTCCCCCATCCTGGCCCCTGCACCTGTCAAACCCAGCCTCTAGAGGCCACTGCATCATCCTCTGCTGTGGCCAGAGACATCTTTGTGACCACATCCCTCTCCCGCTTGAACTCCAGGGCTTCTGCCCCTCAGCAGACATTTTCACCCCCCACCCCCTATGATCTGCCCCCGGCTCTGCAGATCATTCCTCAGGACCATCCACATCCCCCTCCCGCCTCCAACCAGGCAGCCAGCCCCTCCCTTCGGCCCCGCCCGGTAGACTCCTTTCTCAGGCCTAGTTCCGACACCATTTCCTCCCTGCCTACGGGCCGTGACTGTACCCCTACAGGCTGTGTGTTCTCAGCTCCCCACAGCTTTCGAGGCCTCTTGCTACAGAGGCAGCCCCATGTCACCTGGACCCTTTCTCCATCAGCACATGGCCCTGGATTTAGCCTTGCTACCCCGACTCTAGGCTTTTCCGTGTCTGGGGGCAGGGCTGCCTAGTTCCTCCCTTGGGGGCTAGACTCTGCCTGTGTACCCAGGGGGTCCAGGGGAGTGCCGCCCAGTTTGCTGTTCTAACTGGGTGCACTGATCCAACTACACTCTCTGTCCCGCTTCAAGGACGGGCACCGCCAGGGGACCCCCAATGCAGTTCACCTGCCAGAGACAAATCAGTGGATCTGGACACAGGTTCAAAGTAAATCTGGGCTTGCTATTGCCTGAGGTCATCCCCTTCTTCCCTCTCACAGCTCCGTGTCAGCCGCGGCTGCAGCAGGGCCCCGTCCTGTCCACCCCTGCCCCCAGCCCAGCTACTTCGTGCCCAGGCTGCCCTGAGTGCTGACCAGGTTCCTGCAGCCACGGAGCTCCCCAGCCTCTCTCCCGGCGAATGACACAGGGCGGGCTCTGGCACAGAAGCTCTCAGGCCTACAGACTGGAATCGGGGCTCTCAGAGTCCTGAGCCTCCTCTGCAGGGTCTCTGGATCCTTCCTTTCACGGCCTCCACTGCCCAGAGCACAACACACCCTCACCTTCGCTCCCTGGACAGCTGTTCCCCGACACACACTCTGCGGCCCTGCCCTGGGCCTGGGGACGGAGGGAGGCGTGGCACACTCTTGCCTCAGGGAGTTAGGGTTAGGGGAAGACTCGGGGCCCACACAGGTCATTACAGAGACTCTGGCTTTTACACTGAGAACAATGGGGAGCCACTGCACTGTCCCGAGCAAGGAACTGCTCTTGAACGAGTGGTTAACCAAGCACCATGACAGAAGGCACAGGGGTCCGGGAGAATATCTAACACCATCCAGAGGGTCAGGGAGGGCTTCTCAGAGGAAGTAACAATGGACCATGGCCCAGCAGGAGGAAAGGAGGAAGGAGGGGCCTGAACGGAGGCACAGTGGCATCAGCGGGCAGATGGCGTGGGGCATAGGTCAGCAGAACAAGGTCTGCGGGGCAGGGCACCTGGGCTGGGACAAGGTCAGCAGAGGGCAGGACACAGAAGGCCTCAAGTGTTAGATAGAGTAACTTGGAATTTATCCCGAGGGCAATGTGGATGCCTGGTGGAGTCATGCTCAGCTCCTCGGGGTGCTCCTCACTCTCTGCCCACTTGTGGGTAGTCTTTCCTCTAGGACTTGACTCAAGGCAGAACGCCCCCAGCTGGACTCAAGCCCAAGGTCTAACCGTGAACTTGTTTCCCCTGGCCTCTAATTTCCCCAGATACTGAACTGAACTTCTCAGAGGCCTCCCTGCTCTTACAAGGCTAAGCTTCTACCACACACGCCAGACTTGAGTGGTGCTTTTGATAACTTGGGAACTCGACAATTAAGCGCTGTGGGCTTGGGCAAGTCTCTTTGCCTCTTTGGGCCTCAGTTTCCCCATCTGTAAAATGGAGTACCAATAGGTCCTGCTTACCATGGCAGAGAGATGATTGCCTGCACCAGACACATAGTAGGTGTCTAATAAATGCTAGGTGGGTTCGGAACTGGGTGGGAGGAGGGGAGCCTCACCTGGGATGTGTCATGGTTGAAGATGACAGCGTTGAGATCCCCGCAGTTGTAGTGCTTGATGAGGTCCTCCGTGGTGTAGGGCGCCTGCAGGCTCCCTGCCCGCACGCTCTCATGCTGCAGCAGAGTCTGGTTCAGGGCAAACAGCACCTGCACAGAGGAAAGAGAGAGGAATAAAGGCTGTAATTCTAGATCAGGCTGGGGGCCCTGACACCTCCAGGCCCGGCCCTCCTCGCTCTGGACTTTGGGGCAACAGGCCCTGAAACACAGAAGGTGTGTGGGGCCTGGCACCGGCTGGCGCAGGCTGAACCCTTCCCCTGGCCTCCAGACATGTTCAGCCTGTTCTCATCTCCAGCCCTTTGCCCACATGGGTCCCCACTTCTGCTCTGGCTATCAACATCTTATCTAAGGAAGGGGCAAAATGAGAACCTAGTCGTGTCTGGGTTTGGGATGATGGGTGCGTTTGTCTTTTGACTAAATTTTTCTTATTCCTGTGCTTAGGAAAGTTCTAGAATGGGCACAGACTAATTTTGTAATCAAGAGCACGGCAAACAAAGCAAGACAAACACACGAGCAAAACAAACAGAAAACCCACTTAGATTTCAAGGCCCCACCCAAAGGACACTTCCTCCAGAAGTCACCTTACCTGCAGGCAAAGGCCCAAGGGGCTGGGCCTCTCTGAATCAGACCCATGCTGGCACTCAGCACGTTTCCTAAAGCTCCTTTGCACTCTGGGCCGCTATGCGGGGCCCTGGGAACACAGCTGCCCCCTGACCAGACCGGCCTGGCATCAGGATCACGTGGAGGACCATACAAAAATATCAGCTGTCCGGTCCCCATGCCCAGAATTGGCATCTCCGAGGGGGAGCCCAGGATGTGTATTTTTAACAGGCTCCCTGGGACTGACATTAGAGGTCTGATTGCTTCTGCCATGAGGACCACACTCCGATGGAACATGGCCTGCCCAAGGTTTGGGGGCCCTGAGAGATGATCTCAGATGTCCCATTTTAGATGGAGAACCTGAGGCCCATGAGGGGAAGGGACTTGTTCGATTCTGCACAGCTAGCTTCATGTGACAGTGTATCCCAGACCCCCCTGGCCAACAAAATGGAGGAGTCTGACCATGATTTGGGTTCTTTAGCACAGGTGCAGGGAAAAGCTGCTGCAGTTCCTGGGCAGAAGGTCCAGAGGCTGTCTCAAGTCCTCTGTCCTTGCTGTTGCCCAGCCCCAGCTGGCCCTCCACTCTTCAGGCCTTGAGCAAGCTCTTTGCCCATCATCTATTTGCCACCTTGGACCACAGTCCCCGGCCTCCCACCTCACCAGCTCAGTCCTGAGCATCTCCCACTGGGCCCAGTGCAACCCGTCCCCCTCCCTGCAGACCCCCTTTCCTCCCCGCAACCCATAGTTGTCTGCCACAGGCACCTTTTGAAAGCACAAATCTGATTGTCTTCCCTCTCTCTCTTTTTTTTTTTCCTCAAAACTTTCACAGGTGCCTCCTACCCTCAGAGTAAAGGCCTAGCTGTTCAGTAGAGCCTGCAAGGCAGTGGCCTGGACCCTGCTGTGGTCGATGACCTCGCTTCCTACTCAGTCCTCGTGACTCCAAACACCCAACTACTCAGCACTCTTCTGTCTCCACGCTTCTTATATGCTCTTCTCTGTGCATGACAACCTCCTGCCTCTGCTCTCCACTTGCAAATCTAGACTTGGCCTCCCAGGCTCTGCTCAAATGTCTTCCCCAGGAAGCTTCTCTGACCACCTGGGGGCTGAGTCAGGCCCCTCCCGGAGGCCCCCACAGGCTCCTTGCGTGGCAGACTGACAGAGCAGTGGCTCCAAACCTTAACCTGTCCGCGTATTCATGCCCTTGGCCATGGAGCTCTTTGGCTCCCTCCCATGCTGATATTGTGACTCTGGATATAAGTCACCAGGACGTACAGGGGCCTGAAAAGCAGGCTGCCACTGCCTCTTATACCTCCACGGCCCTGACAGTAGCCCATGCTAGCCCACCGGAGGATGGGCAGGGCCGAATTGCCTCAGTTGTCCCACCGAGGCCATCCCAGCCCAGCCAACAGACAGCCAGCTCCCGGACGATACGAGTAAGGGCCAGCTGAGCCCAGCAGGGCCCACCTGCCACTGGGTCCAGACACCTGAGCAGACGCTCAGTGCTGGTGCTGCCCGGCACCATGGTGATGGACAAGCGACCCGCCATGCTTCTGTGTCCCCCACCCCGGCGCGAACATGAGATGGTGCCTGCTGTTAGCTACCTGGCTCTCCCATTAGGCTCTGAGCTTCTCGAAGATAGGACTTACGTTTTATTCGTTTTGTGTCTGCAGCTCTCAGCACGGGGCTGGCAACGAGAGGATGTCGCTCTACTCTTTGCCTAGCGCCTTAGTGCCACCTAGTGCCACCTGCTGGGGTCAGTCACCTCCTATTTCAAAGCTACTCAGTAAGCCCCTCAGACTAGACCCTAGAACTTTGGCACTCTGTCTGCATTTGGGGCATGATGCTATCATGTGGCAGAAGCTCCCACCTGTGACGCCAGCCACCTCATTCCAGAACACACAATCTGAACAGAAAAGCTCACGTAATAAGGTACACAACGTGCTGATGTGGGCAATGGGGCCAAGCGTGCTTGAGATCACCTCTGCCCGTCCCCTCCCACTTTCGTATCTGGCAGGTGGAGAGCTGGATAGCGCTGGGGTGCAGTGGCCCAGGCCGCTCCCCCTAATGAGCTGGCTGGGGATGAGATCAGACCCCCCACCTCTGGGCCTTCTCCAGGCTCTGGCGAGCACCCCGAAATTCAATCTGCGGCCACCTGGTGCAGGGTGTCAACGGCAGCCTGGTGGCTGGGATGAACCACAGGAGGCCATGGCCCTGTTGCTGTGCACATCACTAAGCCAACAGGCACTTCCTTCCACACGGAACAGGCCTCGCGTGCAAGTATCCACGCCAGGCTGGAGCGCTCTACTTCCCCGGGGGGGCTGGGGTACGCAGGCTTCCCTTGACCACGCCCGCCCCGGCATACACCTGCTGCTCCTCAGAGGCAGCACCACCTGGCCTGGGGTGAGGTCATCCATTCAGGTGCCCAGAAGACCTGGCTGGAGGGGAAATTGCTCCCCTGGGCCTCCCTAGACCCATGGAGTCACTTCCGCAGTCCTGTGGCTTTCGTGGAGCAAGGAGGTGTTCCGGTGAGTTAAGCACATTACAATCTGCAGGGTGCTAAGAACAGTCCTGGCGTGTAGTGAGAGCTGGAGGAATGCTTGCTAAATAAAACTTGGAAGAAAATACTCAGACTTGAACCTTCCCAGATTGGAGCTGGAAGGGCCCCTGTAGGTCATCTGGTCCAGGGGTTTTTTAAACCTTTTTTGGCCATAGAATCCTTTTTTATTGTTATTGTTTCCCAAAGGAACTTTACTTGGAACTCAGTATGTGGAGTAGATAAAAGTGGAACTTTCCCCAGTTGATGTGAGGAGACCGGCTAGAGCCCGAAGTCCTACAGGCTCAATGCCCTCGTGCAGCAGAGGTTCCCATGGCTTCTTTGTGGAGACCCATGGGTCTCCTGGAGCCCATTTTGAGAACCACTGATCTCATCCTGTGCCCTCATCATATAGAAGATGAAAGGAGACAGGGGCCCAGAGTAGGCAAGAGAGAGCTCACCCAAGCCCACACAGGAAAGCTGGGGGCAGAGCAGACTCAAAGCCAAGCCTGACGCCCAGCCTAGGACCCTTTGCGGTGCCACAGATTGGGGCTGGATTTCTGGATGTTCATTGGCACAGCCCAGGTTCATCCCACACACTGTACCACACCTGTCTTCCTTTTGGAGCCTCTCGAAACAGCCAGAAATAGCCACAGGGTATTTTTTATTAGCATGTTGCATACAGAAAACTGAGAGTAGATCATTCCCGGTGTGGCACATGCAGTGTGGTGGGGTTTGGCCAGAAACCCAAGCCTATCATTCTGGGCTCCCATGACCCTCAGGCCAGGTTTGGTGCCTCCCACAGACACCTGCCCCACCCCCCCACCCCCGTCCCGGTCTTGGCACTTATCCCATGAAGTGTCCGATTCCGGTGATTCCCCATTCCCTGCCTGTGTAGACCGAGAGCTTGGTAAGTGCAGGAAGCTGACCTCTTTGTTCACCGGTCACTGCTGGAGAGCAGAGTTTTAGGAACTGTTTTGGAAGGTGGACTGCTGACTGCCTGTGACCTGACTGTGACCGAGTCACATGCCCTTTCCCCACACCTCCCGCCTCCTAGCCACCCTTTGCAACTCATAAAGAGGTCCTCATCTGTTCATCACTACGGTCGCCATGTTTCTTGAGCACTTACTCTGTGTCAGGCATCTTCTAAGGTCATATTAATTTATTTCACAGCAACTCTGACGGAAGTCTGATATTAGCTCCAACTAATAGATTAAAAAACCCCAACCCGACAGCAAAGACACAGTAAAGACATAGTAACTCACCCAAGGTGACAGAGCTGGAGAGGGATGGGATGCGCACTTGGCTTGGGCAGGCCAGCCTTGGAACCCATCCTCCTAACTGCCCACTGCCCACTGGGGCCTCCCTCTGCTCTCTCTGGGAGACAGCCAACAGAGAGGGTGTCCTGATTCATAGACGGGAAACCAAAGAAGCAGACGGGGCCCAAGGCCACATGGCTTGTAAAGGGCAGAGCTGGGCTTTGACATGATGTCTGGCTCCAGACCAGGTTCCCATAACTGGAACTTCAAAATAATATGTGCTTCTTCATGAGCATTCTTGGTGCTTCCAACAGATATAGGGAAGCTCCACTTATTCATTCATTCAACAAACATTTACTTTCTGTGGATTTTCTGCAGGGATCTGGGGTTGGTGGATTAATTGGGCTTGGTTTCCACCTCTACGGAGCTCATTTCAGAGGCAGATATCCCAACAGACCATGACAGTAGAGGGTGGTAAGTGGGGCCTCTGAGTCCCCGTGCACAGGGATGGAAGAGCCTCGCCCTGATTTCTGCCTCCCTCCCATTCACCCTGAATTCCCAAGCCTGGCGCTGCTCACAGCCTCCCGAGCCTCCATGCCTTGTGCCCCCAGCCACTTTAGAATAACAAACCCTCCTCACCAAAGCTGCTATGGCCCACTCTAGGATAATGTTTATGATAAAGCCTTGACATGGAATAA